TTTAATCAGTGGGTCACTTGTCTATTGAAGTCTAACTGTAATTCTAGAAATGACCAGGCTTTAAGTGATGATGGTGATGAAGCTGGTGCGTATGGGTGAATAAATAGAATATATTACCTCACCCACCTTGTCTCTCTCTGGGTGAATACGAAATGAAGAAAATGATCTCCTTCCCATCAGCACATGTTCCCATTAGCACTGGTGGTGATACGTGTATCAAGAAGAGTAGGTACTTTTAAATGTGAAGCCTCTGACTTTCTTCCATCATGGGGATAGTACACATTGATTAAGACAGAGAAATTGGTGGGTCTTCTTAGCTGTGTAATAAATGACCAGATTTCCAATACAGTATCAGAAATTGGGGCTATGCATGTGTATGTGTATGAGTGAGCAGCTAGTTTGAAGGTTTGCTTTAAAATTCCTACTCGGATCCAAAAGTCATGAATAAAAGAATATTTTCCTGTTATGCTGGCGAGAAGAAAATTCATACTGTATCTTGTTGGTGAGTTTGCAAAGGATCTTAGCCTCATTTAATATTAAAATAAAAATTGGACAGAATCTCAGCCTCGCCTAGGGTAATTGTGCAGAAGTTTTTGCTGCAGGCAGCGATGTTACTGAGTGTTTAACTGTTGCTTTAGGTGCTCTTGAATAAACTGTACACATTGGATAGTCTGTAAAACAGGTAGGCCTTGTAGTCCAGGTTGCATTAGTTTAACTAAAGATATGATTTTAAACTAATTTAATTAAACTGATGCAAACCCTTGCATGGACACTTACTTTGGTCTAAACTAGGCTTATTTTGGTTTTCCTAATTCCATAAGAAATTGATAAAATCCTGGTTTAAATGGATGGGTTTGTGTACCAGTTTAATGAAATTGGTTTTAAGTGGATTTTAGTCAAACTGGTGCAATTCTGTATGTAGGTGAGGCCTTAGATCAAGTACTGGATAGGATTCCTCTGCTCCATAGCGCTCAACTTTCCTGGGCCCAAATGTGGGTAGCAATGTGTGACCAAGTTCCAAAAGAGTGGGAACATACCTTCCTGCTTGAAGAATGTTAAAATGCCATGGGATTCACTCCATGAGAGTAAACAGTCCGTTCTATCACTTCAGTGCAATGATTCTTTAGTTGTGGTGTCAATAACTTTCCACAATAAATGTAAGGGGACACCAAAGGTGAATAGAAAGTAGGGAACTGTGGGACTAAAGTGAGTGACTTTTCTCTTGAAAAGTGGGATGTTTGAAAGAGAGGCCGTGACTCTAGTCCAACCACTGGACTCAAAGGGACTTAAGGAATCAGGGTTACAGGGGTAACTGGATTAAATGTAATAGACAGAAGGTCAGAACAGATATCTAATGGCCCCTTCTGGCCCTAAGCTCCCTGTACCAGTCTTGGCTCTCTCCTTCCTTCTCTCTGCTAGGCACCAGGGTATAATGGGTTTTAGGGGAGCTGTGAGTCTTGAGGGTAGGGAGAGTTTAGTGCACTACACCTAGCTCCTGTCACTGCTTCCTTTACTGGCAGCAGGCTCCCTTTAGCAGTGGATAAACAGAGTAATAGAAGGGGAAGGCAGCATGATAGTGACCATTGGATACCCTGTGACAGGTTAAAAAAACAGAACACCCCCTCCCGGGGGTCTCACTCCCAAAGACAATTTGTGCTTTCGACTATGTGCTCAGAAATGGGATAGAATAACTTTCTGGGATGAGTGGGGAGTTCTGTCTGTAGGCCCATTCAGACCTTGACCTCTGATCCTGCCAACAAGAAGAGGGCTGTTAGAAGACAGCTGCCTCCACTCAGAACTGCACTCAGCCTGTCTCATTTCACATAAACCACTGAACAGTCATCGACTGCCAGTCACTGTTGCCCCAGGCTAGACTTGAACCAGTGGTCTGGAAATGAAATACTTCATGTATCTGTCACAGGGCAAACTACTCCAGGCCCTCTGGCCTCTCCTCTCAGTGACAAATACCATCCATAAATGAAAATGTTCCCCTACCAGGATACAAACAGCAGGGACATAGACAACTTTTTTTTATTCGGGAGGTGGTGGCTGTAATAACTGTTGAACATTGCTTTAATGAGTAGTTTTGCACCATGACTACATTTGTAAAAGCAGCAAAGAGTCCTGTGGCACCTTATAGACATGCATCCGACGAAGTGGGTATTCACCCACGAAAGCTCATGCTCCAATACGTCTGCTAGTCTATAAGGTACCACAGGACTCTTTGCTGCTTTTACAGATCCAGACTAACACGGCTACCCTCTGATACATGACTACATTTGTTTATCTCACTTTATCAAAAGCGGACAAACTTCTGTTCCAAAGTCAATGTTTCCTTTATTGATGCAGTCCTTAAATTTTTGGAGAGGCTAAAGCCTGGCCCACATCCCTAGTTGTCTACGCCCATGAGCAGCGATGAAAAGATAAACAGAAGCCTCTTTTCTGACTGAGCTTCCACAGTCTCCTTCTCTGGTCAGAGCAGCCCCTGCTTGTTTTTTCCTGCCTTATGCAGTGGTGATGTAGCTGTGTTAGTCCCAGGAGACCTGAAGAAGAGCTCTGTGTAAGCTCGAGAGCTCGCTCTCACCAGCAGAAGCTGGTCTAATAGAAGGTATTACCTTTCCCACCTTGTGTCTCTTTTCCTGCCTTGTAAGTTACAGCAGTGAGCTATGGTTGCCTGATGAGTTCCAGCTACCTTGACTTTTCAGATAATTTAAACTTTTTCTGCATGGTCACTAAATCCTACCAAGGAGCACAGGAGAAGGAGTGGGTTTTAAGTAACTGTTCTCAGTTGGCCCCAGGGCCAGTATCCCTCTACCAGGGGCGGCTCCAGCGCAGCAAGTGCGTGCCTGGGGTGGCAAGCCGCGGGGGGTGGCCTGCCGGTCGCCGTGAGGGCGGCAGGCAGGTGGCTTTCGGCGGCATGCCTGTGGGAGGTCCGCCGGTCCCGTGGCTTCGGTGGCAATTCGGTGGCAGGGACGCCGATGGCACGGCAGCGGCGGACCTCCCGCAGGCGCACCGCCGAATCCGCATGACCAGCGAACCTCCCGCAGGCGCACCGCCGA